AGATGGATGGTGTCTAGCAATGAAATTTGGGGTGAATGTTATGTCTTACATCGGAGTCGTCAGCCGGAGATAGCTGGATCCCAGAGTTGATGTTTACTCTCGGACTAAAGCCCATTAACGTTTGCTTCAAATATCATCAGTTTATCCGCTTAGCGATTGAGTTCAGGTAACTGCCGACTTATGCATTATACAACTGTTCTATTATTAGGCGAAAAAAATCTCTAATCAAGTTATCCCGTTTTCGAATTTTCAAAATTAAGAGACATATGGTGATATTATCAAAAATTAACGTTTGTATTCAATTATATGAGCATTGGAATAATCGATGTTAATATAACTTTTAACTAATCTAGTTCGTTTTTCAAAAGTATTTATAGAATCGTATAACTAGAACTGTTTATCAATCTTCTATATGCTTTATAGGTAATTGATTAAATTTAACATTCCATCACATTATTTTTAGCAAAGTGTAAACTATCATCCATCTGTTGTGATGGGATAATTCATGAATAAATGATTCGTAAAAATTGTTATCCATCGAGTAAAGTATAACGGTTGTTACAAAGAAATGTCGCTTCAAACAAACGGCTGAAAGGTAATCTACAAGAAAATATTGTGTTGTATTCTTTGCGTCCGTGTTAATTTTCATTTCATGACCCGTTTTATTCTTCTGAAGAGAGTATAGTGTTTATTTTCAAATCCGACTACTTTTATATGTACTTCCAAAATTTTAACTGTTCCTAAAAATGTGGTAAGACAAAGAGAATCAGGTGGTAGACTCAACAATAGTTTCATTAACATTATTCAACTTGTTAAAGTAAAGATGCAACTAATTCGCTTAAGAGGCTATACTAATCAAATGTGTACGATTAGGTTAAAACAATAATTATCTTCTCATTACTGATCAATGTAAAAATACACTCTTCAATATACACCATCATTTTTTAAAATCACACTATTGTTAATGTCAATATGAAATTTAGTTTCAGATTTCTTCAATTACTCATGAGAATGATAATTTCATTCATGATTCCTAACAGACTAAACACATCTTTGATTTTCTCATAAGTATTACCACTATTATCATCCATTAATTTATATATATTTAGTCTACTTATATTAATAGCAAAGGTTTAAATGATCTACATCAAGTATTTATACTCGTAATAATTCAGTTTGATAATCAGTAATTAAAAACCATGCATTCACTTTATGTGTATTTTCTAATGTAGTTGAAGTGTCAATTATGATTATTGTCAATGTTATTTGTGTTCTATGAATAGAATGCATTCAATGCTTGTCATAAAATGATGATTATTTCCCCCCACCGCCCCCCTCAAAAAAAAAACATTCACATTATGGGCAATTGCATTTACTAATACAAAAATATATGAGCATTCTATAAAAACATTATTTTGTTGGTATTTTTCATGTTATATACTAATGATTAATTTTTTTCATCATGACTTATTTACCCCAATAAGCTAAAATGTAGACAAGTTTTGATCAGTTTTTTTTCCTTTATACAGGAAGTAATCTATCAAATCATCCATTTTATGATAGAAAATATTTAATGTATTCAGACAGATTATTTGTAGATCTATTATTATCCATTATTAATGGTTATATAAATGAATAAGCAATAATTTGTGAAGTACTTATTACATAATATGCTAATAATATTATCAGGAGTTTAAATATTAATATCAGATGAGTTTTATGGATATTATAGTAATTTCAATGGTTAAGATAATGAGTCAGTTGAAGATAGACCACCATGGGGCTTCTCAACAGTGCGTATCCACAACCTCGCCCCCTGCGAGATTCGAACCCAGGACCTACTGGTTACGCGCGCGAGCACTTAACCACTAGACCACTGAACTGGCCGGCATCCAACGGTGTTAATGTCTAACTTCAACTAATCCACGAAATTGAGCGATACATCCACCATTGTCTTCAGTGAGTTACTAACTCACAACAGACCTGGTTGAACTCCACTGGTCACTACTTCTCACTAGAACTTCAAGATATACCTCGTGAAGCCAGTCATTAGTGAGCATATGTTGAATCATATCAGATGGGTTTTGTAGATATTATGGTAATTTCAATGGTTAAGATCATGAGTCAGTTGAAGCTATTGTTTGTAAATTCATAATATGAGTTTATATAAACAAAATGTATCTTACACATTAGATGAAGATAGTTTATTAATAAGCTATGTAAATTTATTAGAATTTGGAGATAAACATTTGATGTCCATTAACTAGTGTAATAAAGATTTCTATCAATTAACAGTTTAGCACTAATATTTAGCATTGCTAATCTTATTTTTATTTATTTATTTTAACACATAGATATTGGTACAAGGAGGCACCAAAAACATATGCGCCAAACAAATCTCATTTGATTTGTGTGAGGGCTGTGATACTGCATTGCTAATCGAATGAGGAAGATTAAAAAAAAAACCACTGGAAAACATCGTTAAATGAGTCTTTTTGTATTAATCGTAGGTACTATATAAACTATCAGTGTCATATCATTTAGTTATTGAAATAAAATGTTTATTTCCTCAAGTAAGACATTGTAGTTTTAGAAAAATGATAGATTCATAAAAGAAAGTCATATAACAAGTTGAGATGCTTGCAAATCCCTGAAGAATTTAAAAGATAGCTGAGTAGTATGGTATAATTTGATGACATCTTGTACATGATCAGTGCTTTTGTAAGTTAACACAAGTAGGATAATAATACTCATTAGACTTCTGTGATTCATTTTATTTTTAGAAAATATACTAGTTAACTATAAGACATTCAATGTTGATTAGAAGTGAACATGCAACAACAGTAGTTAAAGTCATTGACTACAGTTTTACCAAAATTCCTACTTTTATCTTTTTTTCTTGTGATAATTTTCAAAAGACAATAATTAGTTACAAAAGTGATGGTTAAATCTAAAGCTTTACATTATCAGTGAATAACAAATACTTAATGCTTGAATACATACTGATAAATTGAGATCAAATATTTCAAGAGTAATTCACATTTATATAGCCTAACAATTAACTGAAGTTATCTATGATAAATATAGCTTTCCACTTTTCTAATTACAAATAATTCCCTCCTTAATTGTACTACGAACTGAAATAAATATAACTGCGCAGCTCTTATTTTCTTTTTGGACAACAACATCAATGCTTACTTTACGTGAACCTCAGAGATTAAACTATTAAACGCAGAGGATAAAACACTGTTATAAGTTACTATCTAAGCAACAAATCTTCTTCATTATTTCTATACTTTTATGGAGCTTATTTCAAATGAATAAAATGAATTGTATGATTAGAAAAAAAGAAGCTCAAAAAACTGAAATCTGCCGCCTTGAACTAGAAATGTACCTAAGCCTGAAATTTTTATATTGTTTTGTGAAGGCCCGTAATTTTAACCGATAAGCGATAATTTTTTTTTCTAAATCACTACTGTATTTTCGTTATAATAGTTAATTTGTGACTGAATATATCAGGCATTTTTTTGTCTGAAGAACAGTTTCATTCAAACAAAAGCTTTAAAAAAAGTTATAGGCTGTACATTGAATTATTTACTGTATTTGGTTCGATGAAAAATAAAGAAAATGACTAAATCCGTTTATTAGCCTAAATTCTTTACTATGTAGAGAAAAGGGAAATGAAGTAACAATGCTTTTTTGAACAAACTATTCTTTAGGTCTAACTAATTCATATTTAAGCATAAAGTCTTTTCATTGTTATTCGGATTTGACTTTTTCTGTTTCTATAGAATCTTTTGAAAAGAAAGAGAATTATTATATATAGGAAATTATTATTAGAATAGGTTCTGTGGAGACTTCTAGAAACTTCACTTGTTGAAATCATGAGTCAATTGAAGCTAGACCACAATGGAAAACTTGGAAGCACTGGACGGCCGTTTCGTCCTAGTATGGGACTCCTCAGCAGTGCACATCCACGATCCCGCACCCCGCGAGATTCGAACCCAGGACCTACCAGGCGCTTACGGTGACGCAACTTCGTGGATTGGTTGAAGTTAGACATTAACACCGTTGGATGCCGGCTCAGTCGTGTTGTTGGTTAAGCGCCCGGCGCGAGACTGACAGGTCCTGGATTCGAATCTCGCAGGGGGCGGGATCGTGGATGTGCACTGCTGAGGAGTCCCATACTAGGACGAAACGGCTGTCCAAGGCTTTCAGCTTTCCATGGTGGTCTAGCTTCAGTTGACTCATGATATCAACAAGTGAAATTTATGGGAAATGGTTGAAAGTAAAAAAGGCACTTCAATTTTATATTACTGAAATCCTATTAGTAAGTCATTATTTCCTTACTTTTGATTAGAAGAATACATTTTATGTATGAGAATATTTAACAGTTATTCCACATCAAGAATTTTTTTGTTTTCGGTTGTACTTATGAAAAGAGGAAACTGTTTAGATTCTATGTCTTCAAAATTGATTGTCCTAATTGATGTGAAATGGCTAAATGGTGATTGTTCAACTAAACCAAATTATTGATATAAATTTCCTTTATTGAACACATCTAAAAACATGATGACACACCAGCAAAAAGAACGGTATTTTCATCCAATAAATTAAAGCGAAGCACAAAGGAAAACTCAATTGCCCCAGCTTTCAAGTAACGAGTCTCAAAAATGACGACATGAGTATACTGGATTCTTAAGCTTGCCTTAATGCATTTATTCCATAAAATGTGTAAAAAATGTTCAACATTGAGGCATTGGTCATTGGGTACAAACACACTAATAAAGAGTGATTATACTTCAGTCCTGGATATCAACAACAAAATATTTCAAACATTGACAAATGATTGAAGAGTCCAGGCATGACATTTAAAGACTGTTATTGTTTAATCATTATGAGTTCAACCTTACCATTAATAAATTAATCGATTCAGAACAAACGAATTGAATAGAAATCTGTTCATTTGTTTCCTACAAAATATGCCATAAACTACTTACCTCATGAATAAATGTATTACGAGTCATTCTTTTTGTTCTCTGAGGCTCTTTTGTTGTCAAATAAGCTGAATTCATGAATTCTTCAATTTCTGTACCCATAATCATCATACTTTCCTAAGTTAAAAAACACACAGGAGAAATATAAACTTTACAAATTTATAATAATACTTACAATATAATGAGATCCTTAATCTTATCATTATTTACGTTAAATGACAAAACAATTGTGAGTTTGAACTTATTTTAATCAAACACAAAATTACAATGGTAAATTTCCATAACTTCTGATTTATGGAGAAAATCAAGTTTATGATGTAACAGTTGTATAATAAATGTAATCAATTGTCTGATTTGAATTATCTTTTTTCTAGATCAGACTTGCATATATTATTTCCACTTTTCTTGTTGTACACTACTAAGGAGGTCGAATCTACATTGAAACTACTACAAATCCCTTCTAACCTCATCATTTGTTCATGAACTAATTTGGTCACTTAACTTATGCAGTCCAGATATGTCAGATATGTCTGTATGAATAGAATGTGACCCTGTCAATCATGTGACATGAAAATGATTGATGTTAGGTTTATCTGTTCATTGAGACGCTCACGGACCACTATTCTGAAGTATATATGTATATATACTTCATTTTATTATATTGCATGCAGACATAAGTAGTATAGGAAAGGAATCAAAAGTGAAATGTTTACCGACAGAAGATTGAAATAAAGAGAATACAAATGAAAATGGAGAATGATTGGAATACTAACTGGATTTAAAGAATAATGTATTATATAGAGGACAACTCAAAGATGTGCAAATGATGTATCAATGTATGATTTCTATTTTTAACAAAGTCACTGTTCGGTTTTGTATAAGACAATAAGTTGGCTTGCCATATTTCAGTTTCCGTCCACCATATATCAAATCTCCTTTATAGTGAATAGTTTTCTCGAGTGAACGCTACTTTGTTATATCTGGTCGTCGCTGATTATTATGACGGAATCACTTATCACTTATATTCAAAATCGAGGAACCACTGTAACTTCCACGATTCGAGGTAAGAACACTAATACTAGAATATGTAAAGATTTCTTAATCCCAAAACACGACGACCCTTGTCGAACATACACATATATTGATTGTACACTCACTTTGATTATTAATGAGAATAAAATCGCATATATAAAAATGCCCAGAATTATAACAAACCATATGCTACTTATCATGCTGAGCATAGTTCAGGTTAATTGAATACAAAACTATCGTGTTATACAGTATAAAATATCATACGGGAAAACATAACAAATACTACACTCAGTAATTATCACACCGAATTAAAACGTAAGGAATATTGAGCGAAAATCATGGTAAATCAATCTAATTTTGACTTTTCTTCTCTTCATATCACCTCCCCCTATTTTTTGAAAACTCAAAGTTTAGATCCAGACATGGAATTTTCTGACTTTATCCACCCTCACGAAATAATGTTAGATCCTCATATTCTCAAGATACAATTAATGTGACTTTATTTAAAACATATTTCTTGAGGATGAACGACACTTAATTTGAGGTCATCATGGGTCTGATTCTTCTGAAATATTTTCATCAAATTTATTGGAAGTATCATTAGAGGATAATGGATCACTTGGATAATCAGCATCCAACGAAATTGAATTAGATTTTTGATTATCATTTGATGCATCCGACATATTTTTCCCATTTTTGTGAGAAATTTAATAAAAAATATGTGAATCATTAGAAGAACTCGTATCTAGAAAAAACAACTAGAGAATCCCGATAAGTAGATTCATGGGAAACTTTTGTTGCAGATTGATGAATTCCATTTGGTACAACTGTATTCATTATGCTGCTCGATTTATTTTCTATTTCTTCGTGCGCAGGCACTGTAACAATTTCATGAGCATTTAACAAGACACCATCTCTCTGTGAGCTGGGTAAGTTAATGCTTGCACACTGTGTTTGGGGGATAATGGGCTTTGAATCCACTACAGGGCATGTCTCTAAAATAAACATTACTGAGCTACTGGGAGGATTATGTATGACTATTACTGTTTCGTTTAAATTACTGCCTGTCTAGGATTCATGGAGGCCTTTACTGATACATTCGTCCATTCTGCAATTATTTTCCAGATCTGTACGCAATTTAAAAATACTATATAACTTATTGACGACACCGACTAAATAATTACATAGGTTTCATCCAATTACTGGCTGACCTTGGTTCTTTTTTTCACACCGTCGCCACTGATTTGGCTTCTAGTTGAACGCTAATTGTTATGACTGGTGGTCGACTGTTCTAACTGCGTCACCACTGATATGCCTTCTTTTTGAACACCAGATTCTGCTCCTAAGCTCTGCTAGTAACTACGAAACACGGCGACGACCATAGTCGGAAATACGCTCATTTATGTATTGATTCGTATACCCATTTTGATTAATAATTAGGATGAAATCACATATACGAAAAAAATACTTTCAGTTATAACAAATCACATGCTACATGTTATGCTTAGTACAGTTTATGTTAACTTATACACGAGAATATGGTATGTTATATAGAATAAAATATCATACGGGAAAACAAAACAAATGCTATATTGTGCAATCACCACAATGAATTAAAACGGAAGTAATGTTGAACAAAAATCATAATAGGTAAAAAGAATCTAATTTCGACTTTTCTTCCCGTCATACCATATAGATGTTTGTTGTTTTATGACATCAATATCTAGAATGTTCCTCCAATGAAATACAGGTTCATAAACCTTTCTATTGGTATTGGTATATAGATATGTCACTTAGATATAATATTATGCAAATATGGGTTCGGGCCTCGCGAGGCGGGATCGTAGATGCGCACTGCTGAGAAGTCTCACAGTGGGACGAAACGGCCATTCAGTGCTTCCAGGTTTTCCATGGTGGTCTAGCTTCAATTGATTCATGATCTCAACGATTATTATCCACAAAATTCCCTTCTTATATTAAGCATGGATATCACGTGTACGAAAAACTATGTGTTTTAAGCAACCTAACTTTACTATTCAATTGTAATTATACAGTGTAATTCAATTGATATCAGTTGGTTAGTAAAAGCAAAACATTCACATAAAATATAGAATTGAGCTGTTGATAATCTCTTGTCATGTTAATGGTTCTTAGTACATGTGTATGATATGATGTTCAAATAAATGGGTCTGATTGTAAGGCGTCAAATATATTGATTCCTAAATTACCCATAAAATCTTAATACAATAATAAATTAAATTACAAATGAATTTCAATCCAATTTATTCTCTATTAAATATGCTGTATTTAACCATGTCATTTTGTTGTACAAAACGAATCATTTTTTCGCTAACTAGGCATTTTATCTTCTGGTTTCCACTAACTAAGGGTCCTGAGTCAGTCATTCGTATTTGTGTGTAATTATGATTAGACCATATGAATTATATAACATGAGACAATCTAGTTACACATACACTATATTATATAGAGCAGCATTTATATATTGCAGTTTTTTAGCTCGTTATTAGCATATTTCTAATTGAATTTAAACATATTAATGTTGACATGATCATTTCAACCAAATCCAGTTTTTACATGATATTTATAGACTGTATTTTTCTAATTCAAACAAGCTGATTAGTGAAATTTCCTCATAATATATTTGGTCATCTCTGGTTTTTATTACAATTTCGCTAGTTAAATCTAGATTATGTGGTAGATACATAAAATTTCGGCACATGTTGAAATAAACTAAAAGATTCATCTTCTATCCTCAATGAAAAACTGACCGTTGGATGCTGGCTCAGCGGTCTAACGGTTAAGCGTTCACGTGCAAGACTGATAGGTCCTGAGTTCGAATCCCGCATGGCGCGGGATCATGGATACGCACTAATGAGGAGTCCCATACTAGGACGAAACAGCCTTTCAGTGCTTCCAGGTTTCCTATGGTGGTCTAGCTTTAATTACCTCATGATTTCAACTATTGAAATTTCTAAAAAAAGTCTCCACAAAACCCCTTCTGATAATATATTTATTCAATATAAGTAAATTATAAAATTCTTACAACTAACCATGAAATATCTGATTAATTGCTTGTCTATTAGTTACAGCTCTCTCTCTCTCTCTCTCTCTATATATATATATATATATATATATATATATATATATATATATATATATATATATATATAAATTAACTCTGACCTGATTTTCTTTGTTCTTTCAAATGTAATTATTCAACACTACCTTAATGTACTTTTAACCTTTACCATTAATACATGATAAATTGTTTTTCTATATTTATGCATATCAACAAATGTATTTTTATTTTTTTTTCATTTTCAAAATATCCTGCAGTTTATGATAAGTTCAACAAAATAATCTGTGATGAAATAATATCTATATTTAAATAGAAGTTAATTAGTTAGCTTATTTTTTATAAACAGTAGTATGTTCAGTATAGTTTAATTTCAAAATAAATAATTGTTACTTATAGCAATCAATCTTATTAAGATCTTTGTGTTGGGAAAAAAAGAACATAAATCTGAATGAATTGCTTAAAGCAACTGTTTACAATTTTTCCGCGTCTCCTAAATGAATTTATAACATAAGTTTTTTCTGTTGCTTATTTTTGTCTAAATTTCCAATTCATAAACATGATTATTCGAAACACAGTGGTTAACTGAACTTGTTTATATATTCATCAACGGAACAACTGATAAAATCAGGTTTCAATGATAAATATATTAAAATTTAACTCTGTGTGAACTTATTCATATGTGCTATTGAAGTGTTTAAAAGCTTTCCGAAATAGTTGTTCAAAATGAACATCGAATTGAACAATTTCTATAAATCACTATTCTAATATTATCATTTATATAAACACATGTATATCATGACTAAGTGAATTTCTGAGATGAAACATTAATGAGATACTACTATCTCAAGTACTTACTTCCTGTTAAAGTAATATAAAGTGAAAGAGTTTGTTCGCATGATTAGGTTAACAAATAATCTTCAACTGAATCATGATTCCAACATGTGAAAATTTCTAAAACTCTCCACAAAACCCATTCTGATAATAATAATCAACTGCTCACTAGTGACTGACTTCAGGAAAAACTCCTGGAGTTCTAGTGAGAAGCCGTTACCAGTGGAGTTCAACCGGTCTGTTGTGAGATAACAACTCACTGAAGACAATGGTGTACGGTGGCGCAACTTCGTGGATTGGTTGAAGTTAGACATTAACACCGTTGGATGCCGGCTCAGTGGTCTAGTGGTTAAGTGCTCGCGCGCGTAACCAGTAGGTCTTGGGTTCGAGCCCCGGGTGGTGCGGGATCGTGGATGCGCACTGCTGAGGAGTCCCATACCAAGACGAAACGGCCGTCCAGTGCTTCCAGGTTTTCAATGGTGGTCTAGCTTCAACTGAATCATGATTTCAACCTGTGAAAATTTCTAAAACTCTCCACAAAACCCATTCTGAAAATAATCTAATGTATCTAAATTGATCCTTGTTATTTTAATTGCCTAAGAATTGATTTATTGTCTGAAACATTCATCATCTGTTCTAACACTTACCATCTACCTCAGTTTAACAAGCCATTCAGTATCAGCACACGAAAAGTGTTGTATAAAATTGTGTAAACTTATCTATGCTAATTTACTGAATTTCATTGTCGATTTAAACAACTTATGATTCTTAAAAGATTTGTGTATATCTAATCACCATCAGTAAACAAAAATAAAAGAAGATTTAATATTGATACATACATTTTCACGTGATATTATTGATGGTGCTTTATTTATCCATGCTGGAACTGTAATAATTGGAGTATGATTTTTGGTTGTCATTAGCTCAAATAGAGCAGATGCATTATTCACTTGATCCATATGATGTAATTCAATAATCCATATAGGTGGACAAGCACAAATGAGATAAGTGAAATTACACAGTGAAAACCTAATATAAAGAAAAAAATGGGAAGAATATGTTAGTTCACAGAAAGATTAATAGATAGATATATGTATGTATAGTCCCAAACGATGCACTGAGTTTAACACGATAGTATTCAGTATCCCGTATATAATGAGAAATGATAACTTGTTGATTTACGTACTTAACATGCGATCATTTGAAAGTCAGTTTAAATTTCAATGACTTCATTTAGTTTGATCAGTAACAGAAGTTCCCAGAAAAAATTTTTAATCTAAGCAGAGGTACCTGATTCATACTTAACTAATAATGCAGTGATTTGTGAACTTGTTACAAATAAAATATTGAGCAGTCGGCCGGACATCAGTTTATAACAAAATGGCTTGTTGAAAGCGCTCTAAAATTGTTTATAAAGTGCAGAAGCACGATAAAAATTATGTTTTACGTTCTAATCGCCTCTATGTCCTCCAACCTTTAAACTAGAGATAAACAAGACACTTATTCAAATTTCTTCCTAGCGCACAATAATAGAGTTATCCTAGAGACCTTTATCCCTATCTATCAATATTATTTGTGACGGGAGCAAGGGTCAATAAACACATATCAAGACAAGGTGAAAGATTATCAATTCTGTCAAAACGTGTAGGGTTTATGCAAATACGTCTTAGAATTAAGAAAGGTCATACAACAGAGCAATTTATTTGACTAAATGTGACTTCTTTTATGCACTTTTTAAAAAAGATCTTATCATATGTTCTTCAGATTATCTCGCAGTAGTTTTCCAAATGAAGCTACGTAACTTCCAAGAAATCATATTTTAAGTTAGTATTAGGGTAGATATTTCACTTAAACAGATTTTCAACGTCCCACACTGAAATCAGTATAACTTTAAGTAGGTACTGTACAGGTTACATAGCGCGTGATAGGACAATTAACTTTTTTATATTGAATAATCTTAATCAAAAAGGTGAAGTTGGCAAAGCAAGGGCCGCATCCCTACAGTTGAAGAGCATATGGAACTCAAAACAACTGTCAACCAATATCAAAGTCACAATCTTCAATACGAACGTCAAGGCACTTCTACTGTACAGAGCTGAAACTTAGAGAACTACAACAACCACCATCAAGAAGGTACAAGTATTTATAAATGATTGTCTACGCAGGATACTCAACATCCATTGACAGGATACCATCAGCAACAGCCTTCTCTGGGAGAGAACATACCAGCTTCCAGCTGAAGAGGAAATTAGGAAAAGACGATAGAAATGGATACGACAGACATTACGCAAATCATCAAACTGCATCACGAGGCAAGCCCTAGCTTGTTATCCTGAAGGGAAGCGGAAAAGAGGAAGGCCACAGAACACATTATGTCGGAAAATAGGAGCAGGTATGAGAAGGGTGAATAACAACTGGAAAGAGATGAAAAAGATTGCCCAGAACATGGTTGGATGGGGAATGCTGGTGAGCGGCCTATGCTCCTTCACGAGGAGTAACAGGCGTAAGTAAGTAATCTTAATCAAAGAAAATAATAAAGTAAACACTAGTTAACACATATTTGGTTGATCAAACGTCCTTAGTTCGCTACATGAGCTGAAAGTTTTACGGCCGAATTCATGTGTGATAAAACATGTAAACTGTTGATGAGCCCTAACTCATTGCGAAACTGTTGTTTTGTGAGATTTTCGATTTTCCATGATACTTTAACTAACTTTAGTTCGTGAAAAACATAAATCATAACAAAATCTTTAAAGAATTTCTTTGTTAAATTACAAATGGGTATTAGTCTTAATTATTGTGACTTTAACTTCTCTTTTGTATACTTACCTAACTTACTTATGCCTACCAATGAAATCAAGTTTGTAAACTGACGTTATTTATAAAAACAATTAAACAAAAGAAGATTATTATAATAAAATCTCTTGTTAAATACTAGACAAAACTAAATCCCTAAATTATTGGTTAGTTATTAACTCTGCGTAATAATGGTGCATTAGTATTCAAATTGTTAATTATAATATTGTTATGCTTCGTTTAGTAAACGCTGCAAGAAAGGTTTCAATAAACTTCTTACTTGTATACACAAAATGCTCCTAACTATTAGTACTAATATTAGTTCTTTCTTGGTATCTTTATCTGTTATTGGGATAAATATTTCATACATCATTTAAAGATGATTTCGATTATAAAGTAACATCAGTTGAAAACCTAATAAAAACTTAAGGAAGTACTGATTAACAATTTTGTCAATCAATAAGTCTTCTGTGAAGGATGGTATTATTTACTTTCAGGTCAAATCAAAAGATCAATGGAATTTAAAACAGTAGGCAACAACGTTCAACTGTCGATACTTCTTCAGTTTCAATTGTAATGGTTTTTCAGTCATTGTCTGTGCGAGATGAACTGTATTTACTGAATAAACTAGCTTCTAAAAACCAACAAATAGAAGAATATTTTGTATATACTACTGAATATTAGAATGATTTTTTGAAGCACTATGACTTCTTGTATACTGACTCGTTAAATAACACACAATTTATACAAGCTAGTATATGTTTTAAAAGTAGAACTGACCCATTCAATCAAATACTAAATAAATACGAACAACTCTTAATAATAAAGTTGATAATACATAATCCACACTTGATATTACACTTATTTTATACCCAAGGATTATCAAACAAAGTGATTCTCAAAATTAACATTTACATCCGTATCCAAACATTTGATAGTTTTTGCATGGAAACTATTAATGTGAAATAAAATTTACCATATTTTATGAACCGTATTTCATTTTTTACTCAGATAATTTACTTTGGTCATTTTTAAAAAAATCTATAATGTTTTTACCTCCATCGAAACTATTTAAAAAACAACTTTAAGTGAATACAAATCTAGAAGAAAATAAAATAACGATATTACATAATTTAATTGTTTCCTAATAGATTTCTATGATTTAATTACATTCTATACATTGGATACAACTATTCCTATTTCATTTTAACCTTTCGTAACTGAATGTTATAACAAATCACTAGTTAAAATTGACAATTTAAACAAAAGTAACGATAAATCAACAAATTAGTTTCTATAATATAACTTTGAACCAAAAAAATACCGTTGAATGATCATTGGATATGTTAATTTTAGAAACTACATTTAGTATCCTATCCATATATATATATATATATATATATATATATATATAGAGAGAGAGAGAGAGAGAGAGAGAGAGTTGGAATGTGTAAATGTCCAATTAAATAGACGAATCTATAGAAAACAGAACAACCAAAACAAAGATTATTATTTAGTATTTAAATAAAACATAAATAACTTTAAGAATTGACAGAATGTCGATTATAATCTTACAATATAAGTATAGATTATACCTAATCATAATACTTGTTTGTAGTTAAATGTTAACTAAAAATCATAAAAAGTACTAAATAAATAGAAATGCTTTTAGTGTTTAAAAAAACACAATTAAAATGAACCTTTTAACGAATGGAAGATGTAATCTAAACTAAAGTTCAAGGTTAATATATATGGTTACATACAGTTTCTTTAAACATCATGTTATGTAATAGCAAAAATGTATTTTCTTTTTCTCATATAAGTAAAAGAAAATATTTAGTCTTTCTTAATGACAAATTTGAATGTAAATTTTACTAAATGGATTAGATTTGATAAAATTTAGTTTTATAAATGTATAGTTATTCTTTAACACCGTTGGATGCCGACCGCTTCAGTGGTCTAGTGGTCAAGTGCTCGCGCGCGAAACCAGTATGTCCTGGGTTCGAATCTCGCAGAGGGCGAGGTCGTGGATGCGCACTCCTGTGGAGCCCCACAATAGGATGAAACGGCCGTCCAGTGCCTCCATGTTTTCCATGGTGGTCTAGCTTCAACTGACTCACGATCTTAACGACTGAAATTACTATGATATCCACAAAACCCATCTGATATTCTTTATTTATCTATTTCATAGTGATATATATTTATGAAGAAAATATCTATAAAAATACTACTTATATAAACTATTTAAGTAATAAACTTTATCAATAAATATTATTGAAAGATTAGATCAAGTTGTTTATGTATATTCATATTCATAACAATGAAACATTTACATGATTATTCATTTACATGGAGGTTTCAAATATTATTTAGCAAAAAGATTGTTATGTAAATGTTCCAGAAGAAAAAAAACATTTATTATAATGGAAAATTAGAACTCAATTAAAATGAACATTAAGAGATAGTGATAATTGAATAATATTGATTAATACAATATTTATTTGTAAGATAAAAATATTAGAAATCTTCTTTTCTTTCTGACTTATATAATCGAATCTTCTTTTTACTTATACACCATCTACTTTAGATAACTTGGTTGTTAACACATATCGCGATGATTCATTATCAACCAATTTACTTCGATAATCTTATTAATAATTGATCTTGGGTTCGAATTTTGCAAGGCGGGATCATAGATGCGTTTTGCTGAGGAGTTCAATAATAAAATGAAACGGATGTCAAATGCTTCCAGGTTTTCCATGATGGTCTTTAAGTGTGGCGTCAAGTCGCGGTTAACTGTGATCATCACTACAAGAATGTTGCGTACCAGATATCAAAAGGCGATTGAAGGTTGTAGCAAGATATATTTGTTGGCGATCTCGTGGTATCGAAAGAATACCAAGATTGTGCCAAAGGAGTACAGGTGTGGTTACTGAGCGTAACCGAATCCGTGCAAGGTCACAATCAACGGAAGAATATATGTCTTTCGTAAAGTTAAATAAACAAATACAGTAAAACAACCAGTGGTACAATTGGTTATAATAATAATTGTTTACATTAAACCAATCGCGTTCTCTTGATAAAAGTAGATCACTACAGTCTCACTTTAATTGATTCATGATGTCAACTATTAAAATACTTTTTTTAAAAATTGAAATTCATATGAATTTCGATTAGTTATTGAATATGAACCTTACTACTTAAAAGTATTATTGTGGTGTATGCTACTTATG